AAGATAAAGCCTTATAATATCAAAAATAATATCAAAAGTATAACATCTTTCGCCATCGTTAGCAATAATCCCGGCATCTGACATAGCGGTTAGGTAACCCATAGAGTCTAAGATGACGTTCCATTGCAGCGCTGGGGTGGGGGTGAACTATATCGTTGGAGGTGCCATCGTCGGTGTGAGTGGTCAAACTGAGATCCCGCCTGTACCTGTCACCCAGTGCGTAGAGCCCTCTAACCAATTCCGACGCCGTGTTTGTTCAAGTGGACGTTATTCGAAAAGAGAAGGGAGTTTTTCTCTCTCTCTCTCTCTCTCTCCGGTGTCTTGGCCAACAATCCCCCAGATAAAATTGGTCGCTCGCTCCGAGGCTGTTTGTGGGACATTGCCGTGCGCAAACTGGCTGCTGCTGTTTTGCCCACAGAATAGTCAATCCACTCTACAGCGTATCCCGTGAAATGTTTTCAGACGACTTGATGACGCGGTGAGGCGCTCTATCGAATGCAAGGATTGCAAGGATTAATCCCTCTCCGGGTGGAGGGATTGTAACAACCCAGAGAGTTTCACACCCTTGTTTTAGAGTGTGAACAGAGGCCTTGGCTTTATGTCCAGAGCAATAGTGTGCAGTTCTGGTTGCCATACAGTGATTATAATAGTAATCTTTAAATGTAATATTACGCCTTTCGTGCCTCAAAGCACTTCACAGGATTTTGTAGGTAATTGAGAGAGCGAAAGGACCTGGGTTCGATCCCCGGGCGAAACGTTGGCCAAGTTTCCTAGAAGGAGGTTGTGATCTAAAAGAGGGGGAAGAAGGGGGCAAGGCGGAGGCTTTGGGGGGTGAGAGCGTTCCAAAGCTTCATTTGGGCTCTATTGCGGCACGAGGTCGAAATCCTTGAGGAGTCGATGAACGCAAACGTTTCCCCGTAGCCTTATGATCTATTGCAGGGTGATGCACCCCCTTCACACACATTCATTTCAAGAAGGGAACCCAGTCTGTTCCCTCCTGATCAAACCACAAGTCGCCAATAATAATAATAATAATAATAATAATAATAAAAATCCTTGCTATTAATGCAGCGCCTGAGCACGTCTTTGTGGCGTCTCGAAGCGCTTCACAGGATATACGGTAAAGTGTAATGACTGCGTATTTTGTGGGCAAAACGCAGCAGCCGATTGAGCACAGCGGCGTCTCACAGAAGGTCGTGGGTTGCGTGACCCAATTTGTTTTTGAGGAATTATTATCCTGGAAAGCAATCTACTGATCGACTAACAACTGTTGATAAAATGTGTATGAATAAGTCACCAAAGAGTAAATATTTTTTCAATGTGTAAGGTACACATGCAGTGATGACCTTGCAATCAGTGAGATAATAATAATAATAATCCTTGCATTTGATACGGCGCCTTATCACGTCTTCGAGAGACGTCTCAAAGCGCTTCACAGAATAGACTGTAAAGTGAATTGACTGTATTTTGTGGGCGAAATTTCTCTGGAGTTCTCGGTCTCACTGGGGTTACTCCGTGCCGATGGCTACAATAATTAACCTGTCGTGGAGCAAGAGTTCCAGAGTCTGATTCAGCAGTAAATACTTCACTGACGTCCCTGTCCTTTCAGCATTTTACAAGATTATTCTCGGTCGTGCTGCTTTCACTGGAAATTCACCCAATGCTTTGTGAACACGGTCACCCGAGAATTTCAGAACTTTTTTTTCAATCACGAGGTGGTAATGCACCTGCCGGCCCGTGACAACAACAACTTGGATCTATATGGCGTCCTCCACGCCGGACGGCATCTCAGAGACAAATCCTGTGACATCCATGAGAGAAAACTGAAGGGTTTTGCCCACAAGGAAAGGCGTTCGCTTTAATAAATACACAGTCACAAGATCGGTTTTGCACAAAGAAGGCCCCTTGGTCCATCTGAATCCACTTCCAACAACAACAACAACAAGATTTCATTTATAGTGCGCCTTTCATGTCGGGAGGCCGTCCCAAGGCGCTGGACAGTTGGGTCGGGACCCGAGCATTGGGGGGGGGAATGGTCAGGGTGAGGGGAGGGAAGGGAGGGGGTGAGGAGGGGGTAGAGAGTCGAGAGAGGAGCTGAAGGCACGATCAAGGAGAAAGGTCTTGAGACCGGCCTTGAAGGAGGAAAGGGAGGAGGCGGCGACGGCACTGGGGATAGAGTTCCAGAGCCTCGGAGCTGAGAGGCTGAAGGCCACCGATGGTAGGGCGGTTGGGGCGGGGGATGTGGAGCAGACCGGAGCCAGAGGAACGGAGGGTACGGGCGGGTAGGTAGGGGGATAGTAGGTCAGAGAGGTAGGAGGGAGCGAGGCCGTGAATGGCCTTGTGGGTGAGGATGAGGATCTTGAATTTGATCCTCTGAGGGATGGGGAGCCAGTGGAGGCGAGCGAGGGCGAGGGTGGGAGTGATGTGGTCGCGAAGCCTGGTGCGGAACAGAGACACGAGCCCTGCAAACTTGTCCTCCTCAAAAAATGATCTATTTCTCTCTTGATAAGCTGTTGTCAGAATGGATTCCAGAACCAAAGAACTCAGATAGGATACGGTGATAAGGCACGACATCAAAACACGGAGTGTTTCGTATATAATTCTGAACGTTCATTTGCAAAGGCGTTTCACATGGTAATGTTATCAAGATCTTTAACATACGACCTTCTGGCTGAAATAAAATACACAGTCACTACACTTTACGGTCTATCCTGTGAAACGCTTTGAGGCGACTCGAAGACGTGATAAGGCGCCATATCAAATGTAAGGATTATTATTATTATTATTATTATTATTATTATTATTATTATTATGACGGCCGCTATAAGAATATAAATGTAAATGGTAATCCATTGTAAGTAAAACTCACTGCATTTCAAGAAAGAGTTCCTTAAACCCAGAATGTTTTTCCTCTTTAAGGAATGCTGCAGGGAATGTCTTGCTGAATAACAACAACAACAACAACAACAACAAGATTACACGTGTATAGCGCCTTTCACGTCAGGAGGACATCCCAAGGCGCTGGACAGAGTACAGCACTTCAGACCCCAGCTGGGGTGGGAGAGGAAGGGAGGGGGAGGGGGATGGCCGATGGCATGGTTGAAGAGGAGGGTCCTGAGGCAGGGCCTGAAGGAGGCTAAGGACCCGACCACCAATGGTGGAGCGGTGGGACGAACAGGAGGCCGGAGGGAGTCGAGCAGAGGCAGCGGCTGGGGGAGTGGGGAGAAGTAGCTCAGGGGTGGAACAAGCGAAGGTTAAGTGGAGTTTGATGGTTGAGTTTGGAACAGAAGCTGTTTGTAAATGGAAAGTCACCTCATGTGCATTACATTACAGGGAGATTGCAACATGATCTGTGTCCTCTCAGTTGCGTGATCTCTCTTCGACCGGGTCAAGCTCTTTGAACTGTGCTCCGCGCTGCGAGTTAGATATTAATAATACCGGTTACGTTTGACGCGGGGCCTTTCATCTCAGGAGAAAGGTTATCACGGGTCAGTGAGTTTCTGTGTCACGGACTCCTGACCCTGGGGAGAGGCGGCGGGGAGGTAAGCAGGATTTCCTTAGTGATGAACAGGCTCCAAGGTGACTTGCTTAGCAACGGAGGTTCAGAATGGTCTCTAGTCTGGCGAGAACCAAAGGCTTGGGAGACCCCAAAACAGACAAGGCTTGGCGGATGGGGGGGGAGGGGGGCGTGGGGTGGGAGGGGGGAAACCCCAGAATGTGCGTTGGTAACTGCTGGAGTCTGATCAGCTGCAACCACAGGGTTTGCCATTGAGAGCACTGACTGGCAAGCTTTCCCGCTGCTTGTCCAGCCTGGACAACCCTACCCTACCCTACCCTACCCTACCCTACCCTACCCGTTAGGGCATTGGTAGCCAACCTTTTCGGTCAGCCGACCCAATACATTTTTCTCTGTTGAGTTTTTCTTCGTAGAAGATCGGGCCATGTGGCTATCGCTGATCAGCGGCTGCTGGTAACAAGGCGATGACTTGCCTGGCCTGGTTCGGCAAAGTTGGCTCTTCAGAGGGGAGCAACTGCACCAATGTGATGTTCAATGCGGAAATTTTAACCAAAACGTTTGCCTACCACTGTGTTAGGATTTTGGCTTACAGGGTTATATTTCAACACTCAACTAACTTGAAGCTAAGACACAAGGCGCCCCCTGTAATGCACCGACAGAATGCGCCTTCTTGTTAATCTCTTACGCAGTAGCCCTGACCCTTACAAGGTGGCGAATTGAGAGACATAAACACAAGTCGTGGGGGGAATGTGGGTGGGGCTGTGGGGGTGGGAACCCATTATTGATGTTGATTAAACCTCTGACCCCAATAAGGGTTTGTCAATGTAAGTTCTCGGCAAATTAACGAAAACTACAGAAAGCGGATGAGAAAAAAGGGAGGGGAGGGGACTGGGGGGGGTGGCCGATGGCCTGGTCGAAGAAGAGGGTCTTAAGGCGGGACTTGAAGGAGGCTAAGGAGGGGGCGAGGCGGAGTGACTGGGGGATGGAATTCCAGAGGTTGGGGGCAAAGTGGCTGAAGGCTCTCCCGCCAATGGTGGGGCGGGTGGGTCGGGGGACGTGGAGCAGCCCGGAGTCGGATGAGCGGAGGGAGCGGGAGGGTTGGTAGCGGGTTAGGAGGTCGCAGAGGTAGGGTGGGGCGAGGCCACGGAGGGCTTTGTAGGTGAGGACCAGGATCTTGAACTGGATCCTCTGAAGGATAGGGAGCCAGTGTATAATTTGTATGTAATATATAATATAGAATAATTCGGAACGAGCAAATTCCAAGCACAAAATTCCAGCCTAGAATTCTTTCCCTCCCTGTGAGACATTGCCCATGAAAAGTCCTCACGTGGGTCTGAGTCTGGAGGTTGTTTCCAGGCCAAATTGAGGAGCTTAGCCTGAATTTAAGAAACTTCCACCATTCAGCACACTCTTAAATGTTTTGAGGGCTTTGGCAGGCTTAAGACCAGGTGGAATTGACCGAGTATGGTTTACGGTTGACATTGACGCATCCCGAAGACTTCACAAGTAATTACTGTCCAGTGTAGCGACTGCACCTCCCGTAATCCGTCGCATTAGGTGGGTATTCTGGAAGGATTACTCATCGCGTTGTTGAGACTTCCCGACGCGCTTCGCAGGATATACAGAATACTATTGCTACTACTCTGAACTGAATTGATTGTAGGTTTTGTGGGCGAAACACGGCAGCCGATTGCGCACAGCCGCGTCCCCCACAAACAGCCGTGGACTGAGCTATTGATTTTTTTTCGGAGGGATTATTATCCACGGGAAAAAATCAATCAATCGAAGGAGCAGCCTAGATAATAAAAATAATATTAATAATAATTGCATTTGATACAGCGCCATCATGGTCGGAAGGATGTACTGTACAGTGTATTGACTGTGTATTTCGGGACCTCACGAAGCTTTTCGCCCGTTCTAGGTCCTTGTATTCTTTTCAGGTCTTTACATAACTGCCTTGATTTCACCTCGTTGTTGGACCTCGTGCAGAAATCAGAGCAACTTTAAGCCGTTGCTTGATTGCCACCGGGTGGCTGCCATCTGGAACTACGGCAGCAATTATACAGTGAGTTTTGTGACAATAACCCTTACGTGCAATCAAAGCATCTAATCACATCGTCAAGACGTTTCCAGCCCAGAGACCTGAGAACTACAGACAGTCCTCCGAGTAGCCCCCAACCATAGGACCTGTTGCTCACCCCCTCCAAAGAATATTCCCACTTGCCGCCCAGAGTGAAGGGTCATAGGTGATTGGCGATTTATTGCTGCTTGATCGCAGAATAAAACGGCACCTGCCATTTCCTCCTTACACAGAGTAATCACAGACGGCCCGACAAGCTCCGGTCGATAAAAATAGCCGCGTGTTTGTCCTGAGACTCGGACCCGCTCTCTCTCTCTCTCTCTCTCTTTCTCCTCCTTACGAGCACTCTGTTCATTGTGTGTGTGTGTGTGTGTGTGCGTGTGTGTCGGCTGAATGCAACACAAGGTCCTGAGGTCCATTCAACCTCGTTCTCGTGGTAAGAATCCCCTGCTTCTCAATCATCCCATTGTGGCGTCCAGCTGCTTCTTAAATGAGCCCAGTGTCCTGGCTATAACCCCCATTCCCCTTCCTGGTCACCCGCTTCGGCTGTTGATTTCCTTCTGTGGCAAATACTGCCACAACAATGGTGTGTGTTGTGTCGTGCACATCCAACACGCGTCTGGTCCCCGCAGTCACCACGCCGGTAGCCTTGCTAAAGTGTAAAGCATTGTGTTTTTATTTGAATACAGTAGAGGACCCACTTCCTACGAGGAAGGCCCACCACGACAAAGCAAGAGCTCGCACTCGATCCAGCTCCTTTCACGTGGGATGGACATCTTGAAGCGGCTCGCAGGGTGCTGGGATCAGGAAGCAGGGAGGAAAGGAAGGGGATTTTAAGGGTGTTGTGTTATGATTATAGTAATAATAATAATAATAATAATAATAAAAATAATCCTTGGATTTGAGGCAGCGCCTTATCGCGTCGTCGAGACGTCCTCAAAGCGCTTCACAGGATGAGTCAGATTTTGCGGGCGAAAACGCGGCAGCCAATTGCGCACAGCAGTGTCCCCACAAACAGCCCTGGATTGAGCGACCAAATTATTATAATTTTTTTGTTGAAGGCTTTATTACTCCCAGAAAGCGATCCGCCGATCGCTTAGCAACTGTTTACTGTTAGGTAAACAGAGTAAGGAAACTTGCCCAAGGCTTCGCCCTGCCCCCCCGGGAAACCAAACCCAGGTCGTCTCATTTTGCGAGGCGCGTGCTCTAACCACTTGTGCTACAGGACTCCGCAGTGTTGACTCAGAGAACGGTCAAACCGGGAACTGAGTGAGGGCTGTGAGCTGGGAGAGCTTCGCTGAGCGAAGGGGGCTTGTGGGTTGACACGTTTGGTGATAAACTTCCCAGTTCTCTTTTCAAACAGCGCCGTAGGATCTTTAACACCCTCCCGAACAGGCAAGACTGGACCCCGATTTAACGTCTCATTCAAAGGACGGCACTGCGTGTGTACGTGTGTCTCTCTCTCTCTCTCTCTCTCTCGCTCTCTTGTCTCTCAACGACATGATAAGGCGCTATAACGTTTCACCTGAAAAGACTGTTGGAATATCGAAAGCAATATAAGCAAGCAACACGTACAATAAAATGGCATTCACTGACTTGCACTGAACTGCAGTAACATGCCTTGACCTGGAGTTCACTCTGTTATAATAATCATTACCATACAATACAATACAATACAATACAAATGTCCATTTATACAGCACCTTTCAGGTCGGGAGGATGTCCCAAGGCACTTCACAACAATGGTTTAGCACCTGAACTGGGGGTTTGGTGGGGGTGGGTAGGATGTGGGACACGAAGCAGGCCATTGCCCGTTGAGCGAAGGGAGCAGCCGGGTTTGATACTCCACCTTTCACGTCACGTCTCAAAGCGCATCACGAGATTTCACTGTAACGTGGCTGCGTGTTTTGTGGGAAATCATGACAGCCAATTTGAGGACATTTTTGCGTGTGTGGGTGGTGGGTGGGGGCGGGGGGGGGGTTTGGGGGGTGGAGAGGACCTTGGTTTAATGTCTCATGTGAAGGACGGCACCTCCGACAATGCAGGTCACCCCCAGCACTGTACCGGAGGGTCATCTTAGACCGTGTGGGCTTGAAGCTCCGATGTGGGGCTCGAACCTCTGACTCAGTGGTGACTAAGAGTCAGGGTGCTTGCGGCAGTCTGTGGCAACGGAGACTTCCTCATAGTGAGTCCAAAACCCTGAGCCTGATGCAAAACAGACTCTTAAAAAAAAACCAAGAAAAAAAACCAAAAGCCAAGAAAAATTCTCCAACTGCTGCAGATTGAGGACCGAACGGTGCCCTCTAAGCATTTGCAGCAGCAGCATTTGCACAGGGCATAAAACACTGGTCAGATTGGGGTGAGAGGAGCGAGTTGTGAACCGTGATCTGTCAAGCCAGAAGCTCTTCCATCGTGAAAAGGGGCATTGGCGGAGTCCCTGCGGCTCAGCGGTTAGAGCGCTCGCCTCGCAAGCGAGAGGACCCGGCTTCGATTCCCGGGCAGGTCAAAATGGAGGATTGGCGGATGGCTTTTCGGGGGTAATAACCCTTCAGGAAAAAAAGATAACAAATCGGTCACTCAATCCACGACTGCGCGCAAGTGCGCGACTGCCGGGTCTCGCCCACAAAACAGACAGTCACTTCGCTTGACAGTATATCCGGTGAAGCGCTTTGAAACGTCTCACAGACACGATAAGGCGCTGTGTCAAATGCAAAGGATTGTTGTTATTGTCATTATTATCCCAGAGGGGACCTTATAGCGGTGTAGAAAACGTTAAATTGCATTGAAAAAGAATCACAGAACAATACTTTATAATAATAATAATAATAATCCTTGCATTTGATACAGCGCCTTCTCACCTCGTCAAGACGTCTCAAAGCGGTTGGTGAATAGCCTGAGTATTTTGTGGGCGAAACACTTGAGACGGCAGAATAGGAGGAGAGCATGGATTTAGAGTTGCAAAGTGCAGTTACAGGACAGACATCAGGAAGTTTTCAAGTTGTGGTGGTGGTGGTGGTGGTGGTGGTTGTTGTTGTTGTTTTCCTTTACACAGAGGGTAATTAACGACCGGCACAGGTTGCCAGGGACGGGGGTGGTTGAGGCCAGGAGACTGGGACTCGTTTACAAATAAATCGCTCGATGCAGTGATGGAAAGACAGAAGAGTGCGCATTTTTTTTTATCTGAACCAATCTTGGATTTCTATGTGTCCCACAGTCGGACGTGGTTTGAGTGACCAATGTTATTTTCCATTCTGGTTTTTGTTTTGGAGGGAGCATTACCCCTGGAAAAGCCATCTCCGCCAATCCACTAACAACTTACCGCTAGATATACAGAGCCCGTGCGGAAACGTAACCTGACGTTCCGCCCCCCCCACCCGCCCGGGAATCGAACGCGGGTCCTCTCGCTTGCGAGGCGAGCGCAACTTAACCGCTGCACTAACAGGACTCGGAAACAAATCAGAGACGTAGCGGGAGGAGGAGGCTCTTTCGCCCATCGGGGTGGTTTGGGTATTTTGGAGGAATTGGGAGCTGGCGATAATACTGAATTAGTTTCCAATACCGTGTCCCCAATGGCTCTCCCGTCCTAAACCACAGTCATCTCCACTTCAGAGTACAAGCCATAGTGCTGCTTGCTGGTTTCACTGCGTTCGGCTGCAGGTGCTGTGACCCCGACTTCTGCCTTGCACCCGCTCGCCCGCGACACCTTCATCAAGAAGTTCTTCAGGTGCCTCCTGAATCTCTCGTTCACGAAGGCGTAGAGGAGCGGATTGATGCAGCAGTGGGTGAAGGCCATGGACTCGGTCACTTGCATGGCGTAGTCCAGCCGCTTGCTGAACCGGCAGCCGGTGATCAGGCCCAGATCCTCCAGAGAGTGAAGGAGAAGCACGATGTTGTAGGGGAACCACAGGACAAAGAAGATGATGACCAGGGCCACCACCAGCTTGAGGGCCTTGTCCTTCCTGAAGGACCTGGACCTGAGCAGGACCTGGGTGATGCGGGTGTGGAAGAAGATCATGGCGAGGAACGGGATGACGAACGCTATGACGTTGACCTGCAGCTTGACGGTGGTCTTCGAGATCAACTGCGGCTGGTCCCCGTAGTGCTCGAGGCAGGTCCAGCGTCCGTCCACCTTCTGCGACTCGCTGTAGAAGAGCTCGGGGCCCGAGAGGACGGCGGAGAACAGCCAGACGGCGGCGCTCACGACTACGCTCTTCGGCACCGTGCTGAGGTTCTTCAGCGAGACGGTGTGGACGATCTGCAGGTACATGCCGAAGCTCATGCAGGTGATGAAGAAGATGCTGCTGTAGAAGTTCACGCTGTACAGGGCGCTGACCACCTTGCACATGGGGCTCCCGAACACCCACTCGTGAGCCACGTACACAGCCCAGAAGGGGAGGGAGGCCGCAAACAGGAAGTCGGAGATGGCCAGGTTCAGTAGGTAGACGTCCGTCATGGTGGTGAGTTTGATGTACTTGATCAGCACCAGCCCCAGGAGGCTGTTCCCCAATGCCCCAAAGGTAAACACCAGGACGTAGAGCACGGGAAGGAAGACCTTCCCGAAGGCCCTCACCTCGTCCTTTGCGCACACCAGGTAGGGAGAGAAGTCGTAGTCCGTGTAGTTGTAATCCTCCTCGGGGAAGGCTGAGCCGTTGAGCGGGCTGGCGGGAGGGCCGCCCAGAACCAGGCCGGTGTCTGCCATCTCCACGCGCGCTGGTCTCTGAGAGAGGGAACGGGAGCGCACGGTTACAAAACAGTGCCAATCCTCGCGTTTGACCCACCGTCCTGCCTGTAACCCGGGTTTGACCAGCTTAAAAATATATGGCGTCCCTGTAGCTCAGTGGTTGGAGCTCTGTAATTACCGAGCAGTCATTAGGAACCCGGCTGTTAGTCGATTGGCGACTGTCTGCGGGGACGCTGCTGTGCGCAATTGGCTGGCGCGGTTCGCCCACAAAATATACAGTCGCTTCACTTTATAGTGCATTCCGTGAAGCGCTTCGAGACATCTGGAAGATGTGATAAGACGCTATATCAAACGTAAGGATTATTATTATTATTATTATTATTATATGTATGTGCCGTTTGCCCACAAAATGTACAGTCAATCCGTCTTACAGTGTATTCTGTGAAGCGCTTTGAGGCGTCTCAACCGCACGATACGGCGCTGTATCAAACGCGAGGTCTGGAGTTGCAAAGGATAACTTTTTGAGGGTGGAAGCTTTTCAGTTATCAACGACTGGAGCAGGGAGGGGCGCCAGGAAAGGTGGTCGAGACCAGGACACTGGGACTCATTTAACCAGCAGGTACACGCCGTGATCGGAGGGGTGGGGGTGGGCGGGAGGGGGGGGGGGGGCGGAGGGTGGGACAGCAAGGAGGTGGGTGTTTTGGAGGTGATGAGATCAGAGGAACCGAAGGGCCTTCTTGTGATCTTGTGGTCGACTCGATTGTGTCGTTCTTTCGCCAAGCAAGTCACCTCGGAGGAGACCCCACTTACCTCCCCCCTCTCCCCACCACCCCTCCCTTTACCCCCCCTCCCCCCCACCCCCCCTCCCCACCCTCTCTCCTTCCGAAGGAGGAAGCACAGTCAGGGGAAGGAAACCACAAGTGAATGGCCTGCTCTGCCTTCGAGGTCACACGTTGAGCAGCTGTTCTTCGCTGCGCTAATTTGTGAGCGTTGGGAGGAAAGGTCACAATAGTAACGGTGGTCGGAGGAAACGGAACAATCGACTCGGGTTGTGCGAACCTCCGAAGCAAACAGCTCACTTGCACCTGTAGGTGTGAAAGGCCCTGTTTGTTCTCTCTGCTCATTCGGAACCACCGCAGATGTGGTCGACTTGTTGTCTTGGCTTCACTGGCTCAGTGAACGGCGAGACAACACGGCCAATGGCCTTCCCCTGCGTTCCCTTAATAATAACAGCCGAGTCTTGTGCTCACAGCCTTCGGGCTCACACTGTGGGGTGCGGGTGCGGGTGCGGGTGGGTGTGTGGGGGTGGAGGGGTAACACATGTTAAAGCGTCAAAGCCTCGGTGACAATAAAACAGAACGTCGTTTCTCCCGGCCACCGTTTCCGCACAGCAGATCCCCTTACCTTAAGTCTCCCCTGCGATAATCTCTCCTCTTTAGTTCCAGTCAGTTAGCAAAATGTTTTTCCTCTCTCTCTCTCTCTCTCTCTTCTCTCTCTTTCTCCCTCTCCCTCTCTCTCTCTCTCTCTCTTCGCCAAGGTGGAAAAAAATACTAAATAATTGGCCGTCTCCATTGGATATTGGGACTTACTTGAAAGTTGGAAAAACCTTATTCGTTCTGCGTTCCAGGTTCCCACCAACAATTTATTTGGCCAGGAGAATCTGCGTTTTATTTTACTGTCACAGGAGCTTCGAACACTTTAACATGCGCTACCCCCGCCTGCCCCCCCCCCCCACCACCACCCCACCCCCACACACCCACACACCCCCGAAGGCTGTGAGCACAAAATTCAGACGGGCGGCTTGACAACTTTCTGACCCAGAGGTGAGAGCACGACAACCTGAGGCAAACAGTGAAGGACTGTGCGAATAATAATAATAATAATAATAATAATCATAATATAATCATCCTCGTTGACACGTCTCAAAGCGCTTCACGGAATTATATAGTGAAGTGAAGTGACTGTGTAAGGACTGAGTAATTGACCTGTATTGAATGCAGTATATTGCTGTGTGACCAGAATCTTTGCTTTCATTGTGGAAGAAGACAAATACGTGGTGGGGAAAGGGGTGGAGTACTTGCCTCGTGCCTCGCAAAGTAGTTGCGTTGACCAACGCTTGAATTTCAAAGAATGGGGATTCCTCAAAAAAAGGAAATGTCGCCCACAAAGAAAGCTAAAAATACAAGGAACTACATCTGCATTGTCAGCTGTACAGCGCCTGGACACTATCCTGTGCGAAGGTCACTTTCTAATAATAATAATAATAATAATAACGTACAAATGCAAGTTGTTGTGAACGCTGTAGCGCGGGAGGACAGAGAAAGGAATGGAACAGGAGGAGGCCATTCAGCTCCTCAAGCCTGTTCCACCATTCTATTAGATCACGGCTGATCTGCGCCTCAAATGCGGTCCAACTGTGGCAGCCGATTGCGCACATCAGTGTCCCACAAACAGTCTTGGATTGAGTGACCAAATTATTATTTTTTTTTTGAAGGGGTTATTACCCCTGGAAGACCGCGATCTGCCGGTTGGTTGATGAACAACCCGGTTCCTACCTACTGCCGGCGTGCGGAGCACGGAAAATTCACTGAGGTTTCGCCCCGCACGGAAACCGAACCCAGATCCTCTCGCTTGCGAGGTGAGCGCTCTAACCAATGCACTGCAGGATTCTCAAGGGCTTTTCAACCGGGCTTTGAGAAGACCCATGAGAGAAATGGCATCCCTTTTCGTTTGTTGACAGAGCGTGAGTTTTAAAAGACCCTGGTCTCAGTGCGAGGCATGTCCCACGTGCGCCAGAGCCTACCGGGTCTTATCTTAAGAACGCACAAGGTAGGGGAGAGCAGAGCTCGAATTATTGCTTATCTTCGTGCGTCCATAAAGATTTGGTGCACTGCAGTGTCAGTGGAAACGTTTGCGGGACAACGCTGTTTGCCTCGGCCCTCAAATATACATACAGTCACTGAACTTTACATGTAAATCCTGTGGGGCGCTTTGAGACGTTTTGGTAAGTGCTAATGTGATAAGACGCTGTAAGGATTATTAACACAACAACAAAATTACATTTGTACAGCGCCTTTCATGTCGGGAGGACGTCCCAAGGCGCTGGGCAATCAGTGTTTCGGACCTGAGCTTGGGGTCGGGATCGGGGAGAGTGGAGGGCATGGGGGGGGGTGGGAAAAGGAGGGTGGACAGGAGGATCTTGAAGGAGGCAAGGGAGGGGGTGAGGTGGAGGGACTGCGGGATGGAGCTCCAGAGGTTAGGGGCGGGGGTGAGCGAGGCGAGGGATGTCAAGCAGCTAGAGCCCGTTGAGCGAAGGGAGGGCGGAGGTTGGTAGGGGGTTAGGAGGTCACAGAGGTGGTGGGGAGCGAGGCCATGGAGGGCTTTGGAGGTGAGGACCAGGATCTTGAACTGTATCCTCTGTGTGATGGGAAGCCAGTGGAGTCGGTTGAGGTAATAATAATAATAATAATAATAATAATAATAATCCTTGCATTTGATACAGCGCTTTTCACATCTTCGAGACGTCTCAAAGCGCTTCACAGGATTCACTGTAAAGCGAATCGACGGTATATTTTGTGGGCGAAACGCGGCGGCCGACTGGGCACAGCAGCGTCCCCACAAACAGCCGTGGATTGAGCGACCGAGTTATTATTGTTCTGTAGGAATTATTACTCCCCGGAGAAGCGATCCGACAATCGACAGGGCTCTAACCACCAAGATAAGTAGATAACACCACACTGCACGCGCTAACAACGTCAGTCCTGCCCGGCTCGGCCGATCTTCCCGGATGTTCCCGAGCGCGTGCGCGTAACTGACGGTGCGGAGAGTTAAAGGGACTTTGACTGCTTCTGACTTCTTACCCTCAGGTCGACGCTGCCCGGACACGGCGGCTGTGTCGTTTTGCCCGTCGGGTTTGGTACCTCACGGCGGTGCTGCGTCGCTGCTACGCGGTGGGTGAGTGCTCTGTGGGACGTTACCCACGCAAAGGAGTGTCGGTGTAATCTACTGTTGTCAATAGAATTTAAACACAAATTGTTATCGGGCTGTGCTCTGCCGCAGCTCTTCTGAGAAGCTGTCGGCAGCGCGAGCCCTTTATATCGCATACACTTCCTTTCGGCGCCGCACAATGACAACAAATGACTTCCTTAGTTACAAGGCTTCCTCCCCGCGGCTCAGATACTTGGAGGAGTGGGGTGGGGTGGGGTTGGGGGGGTTGGCGAGGGTTGGGGTGGGGGGGGTGTGTGGGTGGGGGGGAGGAGATAGGCCGGCGTGTAAGTGATTAGCAGATGCCTACGCACCCATTCTGTTCCACGTGAAGTCCTGGAGCTCAGTGGTTAGAGAGCTCGCCTCGCAAGCGAGAGTTTGGGTTCGATTCCCGGGGCAGGTCGGTCGGGGGGGGGGGGCGAAACCTTACGTAAGTTTCCTTACTCCACACACGCGCCGCTGTTTGCCCAACGGTAAGTAGGAACCCGGTTGCTAGTCGATTATCGGGTCGCTTTCCCGGTGGGGGGGGGTAACGATTCCTTCAAAAATAATAATAATAATTTGTTCGCTGAATCCCACGACTGTTTGTGAGACACTGCTGCGCGCAATCGACTGCTGCATTTGCCCCCAAAATATCCAGTCAATTCGCTTTAACACTACAATACAATAAAATAATCCTCGCATTTGATATAGAGCCTTATCGGGTCTTCGAGACGTCTCAAAGCCCTTCACAGGATATACTGCCGAGCGAATCGACTGTGCATTTTGTGGGCGAGACAGCAGATTCTCCAAAAAGAAGCAGAGAAAAAAATAATAATAATAATAATAATCCTTGCATTTGATATAGCGCTTTTCACGTCGGGAGGACGTCCCAAAGCGCTTCACAGAACACACTGTAAAGTGAATTGACTGTATATTTGTGGGCGAACGCAGCAGCCAATTGCGCACAGCAATGTCCCACAAACAGTCGTAGATTGAAAAATGACCAATTTATTATTGTTTTGTTTTTTTGGAGGATTATTATTAGGCTCTGTGTGGAGTAAGGAAACTTGCCCAAGGTTTCGCCCTCTGCCTGGAATTGAACTCAGGTCTCTCGCTTGCAAAGCGAGTGCTCTAACCACTGAGCTACAGGACTCCACTAATGCTGAAACGCTGTGGATAATGCTGGGGTCTGACTCTCTCTGGTCTCGGTGGCGGTTCCTCGGTCTTGTGCATTTCCTCTGCCGATTCCTGTTCCGATTCTGTCGTGAGCGAACACTTCCTGGAGACGTGCAAGGATTCGTAAGGAGGAAGCAGCTTTCGAGCAGCTGCGGGGGTTGTGGGTTTCAGTGGCTTCTGTTCAGTAAAACTCAGCCCCGCGAGATCACAATTGATTTGGGCGGAGAAGGCTCTTCATCCAATCCTTCCAAAACACCGAGCCCTCCTTAATAATAATAATAATAATAATAATAATAATAATAATAATCATCATAATCATAATAATCATAATAATCATAATAATCATAATAATCATAATAATCATAATAATCATAATCATAATAATCATAATAATAATAATAATAATAATAATAATAATAATAATAATAATAATAATAATAATAATAATATTAATAGCCCTTTGCATTTGATATAGCGCCTTAGCACATCTTCGAGTCATCTCAAAGTGCTTTGCGGCTTCGCAGTAAACTTTGTGGCGTTTACCTGAACTGTATGCATTGCTCAAACTGTGGTCTGACCAGGACACTCTACAACAACAACAACAACAACAACAACAACAACAACAAGATTACCTTTGCGTAGCGCCTGATGACATAGAATCATAGAATCGTAGAACTATACAGCACTGAAGGAGGCCATTCGGCCCATCGTGTCTGTGCCGCTCTTTGAAAAGAGCTATTCAAATCAACCCCACTCCCCCTGCGCTCTCCCCATAGCCCCGATCAACCCCACTCCCCCCCGCTCTCTCCCCATAGCCCCGATCAACCCCACTCCCTCCGCTCTCTCCCCATAGCCCCGATCAACCCCACTCCCTCCGCTCTCTCCCCATAGCCCTGCAAACTTATCCTCCCCAAATAATTATCTACTTCTCTCTTAAAAGTGGTTGTGGAATCGGCTCCCACAACTCGCTGTGTGAAATAATTTCTCCTCACCCTCCCCTCTGTTTCTTTTAACAACTGAGGTGCGGCGAGTGTTTCCTTCCTCATTGGGCCAGAAATATACTGATCCAGAAAGTCCTCCTGCACACATTTCAAGATCCTTGCCCCCCCCTCAACCCCCCCCACCCACCTCCCCTTGCCCTTTACACTGTTATTTTGCCAGTCTATGTCAGGATAATTGAAGTCCCCCATTATCACTACTCTATTGGTTTTGATTCTTTCTGAAATCTGTCGCAGATTTGCTCATCCATCTCCTTCCCACTATTTGGTGGTCTATAGTGTACACTTAATAATAATAATAATAATAATAATCCTTGCATTTGATATAGGGCTTCTCACGTCTTCTCGACGTCTCAAAGCGCTTCCCAGAATACGCTGCAAAGTGAATTGACTGTATATTTGTGGGCGAAACGCAGCAGCCAAGAAACAAGAAAAAGGAGCTGTCGACAGAGTAAACGGCTCCTTTTCTGCTCCTTAACTCTAACCCTATAGATTGTGTTTTTGGACCCTCTAAGCACACCCTTTCTAGGGCTGTAACCGTGTCTTGAATCGATATTGCCAACCCCTCCCCTCACTCCTCCTTTTTTTTTCCCCCATCCCTATCCCTCCTGAATCCGTTGAGGCCGGGAATATTCAGCTCCCATTCCTGCCCTTGTTTGAGCCAGGTCTCCGTCGTTGCCACTGCATCCTAGCCCCACGTGGCAACCTGGGCCGCAGCTCCCCAACCTCGTTGGCCGCACTCCGTGCGTTTACGCCCAAGACCGACTGAGTCTGTTCTGCATTTCTCCCTCGTCTAATCCCCCCTTTTTTTTCTGGATTGCTCCTCATTGCATTGCTATTCGTCTCTCCCAGCCCTCTGTGTAACTCGTCTGTCCCCTTGCTATCCTGATTCCCTTTGCCGCTCGAAATTTGTTTAAACCCTTCCCCTTTCCTCGAGCAGCGGGAGGCGCTTCCTACACATGCGTCTCTCCCGGGCGCACGAAGCATCCTGGAGTTCCCACACATTGTGCTTGCGACCGGTCTCAGCTGCCCCTGCCCTATTCCCAGACATGTTTTATATTATTTTAATGTAACTGATATATTTTGTAATTACGCACCTCTTTCCCCCCCGCGCCCTGCACCGAATTCCCACTCTCACCAAATTCCACCTCACTCGGTTCCCTCCTCACGCTGCTGGGCTCTCTGCTCACCCTGTCACATCTGGGGATCCGACTTTAACTGGTTTGGGAATATATTTGGAGTCTTGTGAACTATTGTGGGGTGGGTCTCCGTCACTCACTACACCTCAACAAGCGCTCGGTAGCTGCTTCCTGCTTACTGATTCTGCCTCAGGTCTAGACTGTGGTTTTTTTTTTGGTTCTTGTGCATTTCCTCTGCCGACTCGCGGACGGGTTTTATTATGAGAATAATCTTTGCACTTGATATAGCGCCTTATCACGACTTTGAGACGCCTCGAAGTGCTTCGCAGAATAAATTGAATTGACTGTATACGTTTTGTGAGTGAAACGCGGCAGCCAATTGCACACAGCAGTGCCCACCCCCACCCCACACCCACAAACAGTTGCGGATTGAGTGACCAAATAATTATTTCAGGGAATTATTACCCCCGGGAAAGCGATCGGCCAATCGACTAACAACCGGGTCCTCTCGCTTGCGAGGCGAGCGCTCTAACCAAAACGCTGCAGGACTCCACATTATTATGAATGAACACATCCTGAAGTTGTTATCACTGAAGCGCAGGCAGATTCGGATGCACTGCATATTAAGAGCTCCAGCTGCTGGACACGTAGAAACATAACAAGTTCAACGAGCTTTGCTGCAAAAGAAATGAAATCTGCTTTCAATGGTAACATGAGGCGAACGCACCACAACTTACACTGAGCTTTCACGTCCCGAGCGCGATGCTTGTCAGACTTCGAGCGCTGAAGTTTGCCCATAATGTGTAAGCCAAATCGAGGGACACGTACGCAGCATATACAATCCACGACGGTTTGTGGGGCACCGCTGTGCGCAATCGGCTGCCACGTTTCACCCACAAAATACAGTCGCTACCCTTTACAGCATATCCCGTGAAGCACTTTGAGCCGTTCTCGAAGGCGTGACCAGGCGCTGTATGAAATGCAGGGGCGGGCTATATCATTATTATACTCGACAATTGCTGATGCTGGCAGTGACTGGAGAAGCGTGTTGGATTAACGGCTGTGTTTGTTTCCCTGACGAGCCGATCTGTTTCACAAGGTGACGTTGTTCTTGCTCAGGTTGTTGCCGAATTCACGACAGGGCAACTTCGGCCCCAGGGATTCCGGCAAAGTGATGGCAAGGCCTGGGAGAACCCCAGCGTGCAAAGTAGGGGTGAGGCAGAGGGCTTGAGCCAGGGAGCTCCTGCGGGGAGGGAGGGAGGGAGTCAGAGGGACCGAGACTTGAGCGGTCCCGACGCTGCGATAAGGCGCTGCGTCAAACGCAAGGATGATTATTAATACTGTATTGGTAAACACGTTGCAAGCATCTCAGATGCTCTGATACAGGCGTGTCGGACTGGTAGCACTCTCGCTCCGAGACGGGAGGTTATGGGTTCAAACCGCCACCTCAGCGACTTTGAGCTCACGGTCCAGGCTGACGCTCTGAGAGACGTCAGAGAGAGAGAGAGAGGGAGGGAGAGAGGGAGGGAGGGAGTGCTGCATTGTCCAGAGGCGCTATCTTTTGGATGAGACATGAAACCAAGCTCCCCATCTGTGCCTGTTCAGGTGGATGTGAAAGATTTCCGCATCGCTTAGGGGGAGAAGAGAAGGGAAGTCGCCGGGAGCACTCGGCAGGTCAGGCAGCATCTACGGAGAAAGGAAAGCGAGTCAACGTTACGGGTCCACGACTGTTCATCAGAACTGGGACATGTTGGGAGGGAGAGGCTTATTTTAAGGGCGAACAGTGAGGAAGGAGGAGGCAGGACAAGGGAAAGCAAAGGAGAAAATGGAGTAGAAGACAGGCAATGATGGGTTTTGATGATGCAAAACAAAGTGGGGGGGGGGGAA